ATATATATATATATATATATATATATTTTCAATATATATATATATATATATATATATATATATATATATATATATATATATATATATATATCTTATATATATATAAATATATATATATATACTTCAATATATATATATATATATATAATATATATATATATATATATATATCAAAGATTACGAATATATATATATATATATATATATATATATAAATGGTGGTTTTGAAAAATATTCCATTTGAATAATCGAGATTATTAAAGCAATTAAAAGTTTTAAAATCGGAAATTTGCATTGTACGAATACTTTTTCCCCCCATTAAAATGGATAAATGGGATTTACTTCTATTAAATCAATTTTTTTTGTTTTCTATACATATTTAGTTATTATGCATCTGTGAATATATATATTAAGCATCTGTATATATATATAATATACATATATATTATGCATCTGTGAATAGATATTTTTTCTATGCATATTTAGTTATTATGCATCTGTGAATATTATATGAAAAGTATGTTTATTCATTAGTTGGAAATACACTAAATTAAAAATTTGTATGTCTACGAATATTTATTTCTCCCCACTATATATACATATACATACACACATATATATACACACACACACACACAAATATATATATATATATATATATATATATATATATATATATATATATAACAATGTATATATAAAATAAAAACAATTATATATATAAATATATATAAATTAAAAAACAATTATATATATATAAACAATTATATATATGTAAAAAACATTTATATATATATATAATATATATATATATATATATATATATATATATATATGTATATACATACAAATATATATGTATAAAAATTAAAAACAATTATACATATATACATATATATATATATATTGATACAATAGTTGTCAGTGAAAAAGAATACCCTACTGTCCCTTGTTAAAATGATTGGATTTCACCATATTCATAGAAATTAATATTATGCTTATAAAACTCAGTACATTTCAAAATAAGTTATTCCAAAATTCGCTTGAAAACGAAACAGAACTAGGGACTTTAATTTAATTTTATAAATGAATTTGAAGCTTCTGTTTTTGAAACACGGTAATTGCTGTGTAGCGATGGAGCCATATTTCTAAATAAGTAAATTTATAATATTTATGCTCTGCTGAATTGTATTGAGCACTGTTTTGTAAAAATAAAAATATTAATAAGAACACCGGATTATATATCTTACTGTTCTTTCTCTTCATTATATATATATATATATATATATATATATATATATATATATATATATATATATATATATATAAAGGTAGACAAATGAAGAGAGAAAGAGGGGAGAGAGAAAGAAAGAGAGAATAGGGGTGAGAGTGAGAGAGGTGGGGAATATGTTCTATTTTTGTCGAATGACTGCTTCAAGCGTAAATGTAGCAGTCACGTGCTACTGATTTCTCGGCTCTTCCTGTTCACATCCACAAAAGTCCTTACATCTCTGATACTGAACAATCTGCCACGATAAATCTTAAACATCGTAATCTTTGCGTATATATATATATATTTTTTTTTTTCTTAAATCCTACCATTTCTTATTTACGACCTTTTCTCTGTTAATCTGACGCTTTCTCAAATTCCTCCCACCTTCAATTTTATTAAATAGGTTTCTCGGTCTGAAATCGCAAATGGCTTCAGGTCAGAACGAATGGATGTCGGGGCCAGATAATACTCTGTGATATTTTCTCTTTAAAACAGAAAACCAAAACACGCCATCTAAAAGGAAACGTTTTATTTTTTTCGCCTTTTTTTCCCTTTTGAATGAAGAATGAGAAACATAATACTTAAATAGATTTCAAGTTCTTTGAGTCATAAATGTTTTGATTATGCCAAGTAGGAAAGAGAAAAAAAGAGAGAGAGAGAGAGGAGAAGGGAGAGAAAACGAGAGACAAATATATATATATATATATATATATATATATATATATATATATATATATATATATATATATAAAAGAGAGCATGACAGAGAAAGAGAAAGAGAAAGAGAAAAGAAAAAATATATATATATATATATATATATATATATATATATATATATATAGTGAGGGGAAGACAGAAAAGATAGAGTGAGAAAGAGAGAAAGAGAGAGAGAAAGAGATGCAGGAAAAATATATATATAGAGAGAAAGAGATAGAAAGAGAAGAAGTGAGAGAGAAAACGAGTGAGAAATATATATATATATACAGAGAGAGAGAGAGAGAGAGACGAAGAGCGAGAGAAAGACAGAGAGAAAGAGAGAGAAATATATATATATAGAGAGAACATAGAGAGAGAGAGAAAGAGTGAAAGAAAGAGAGGGAGAAAGGAGAAAGAAAGAAGAAGAGAGACAGAGAGAAAGACAGAGAGAGAAACAGCTAAAGAGAGAGAGAGAGATAGGGAGAGAGGAAGAGATAGATACATAGAAAGCGAGTGAAAGAAACAGAGAGAGAAAGTAAGTGAGAGAAAGAGAGATAGATAGATAGATATATAGATAGATAGATAGAAAGAAAAGATGACTATACGGAATAGAGAAAAATGAATCCGATATTCCAAAGATATATCTCCTTAAGAACGGTAAAATCCTTCTCTAAGTGGAATGGCAACAAACAGTTCTCAAGAATACCCAGAAACGGTTTCAAAAGTGCTATCATGTGGTCGGAATATGGCCTATTTATGGAAATTCCAAGTGGTTTAAAAGCCTGTTCGGAGAATATACGTCTGGATATATATATATATATATATATATATATATATATATATATATATATATATATATATATATATATATATATATATATATATATATATATATATATATAGGGAGTAATGGATAGCGGCTTGGATTGAGGAATCGGAGAGCCGAGTTCGAATTCAGTCTACTTCACTACTATATAATCAAATCTCTTGTGTTGTTGTCGATTTCCTAGGAACTGATCTGCTTGACCATCATACTTATATATATTTCTTACACACACACATATATATATAATCCCATCGTTTTCGACGTATGATGGTCAAGCAGTTCAGTTCTTAGAACCAACAGCCAGACTTGATTATTATTGGTGATGTAGTCTTGTGTAGAAGCAACTGCACTTTTTGGAAGAGCTGAATGCAGAGAACCGGTGCAGTATGGCACAGTACGCGACAAGATCTACAAACGACCATCCGCGGGTTTTAAACTGAGAGTTGTCCTTTTCCTAGACCGATGGCCACCCATGACTATAGGACCCAGTCTGTCCCGCTATTTACCCATATCTGGGGGGAAGAGATTGATTCATACCTTTTTCTTTTTTTTTTTTTTTTACCTTTCCCAATAGTGTTAGCATGTATCTGAATGTAATGAACTCGACTGGAGTTCGAACTCGGCTCTCCGATTCCTCAATCCGACACGTAATCCATTACTCCATATAACTTCTCTATTTTTTCATTTTTTATTTGTGTGTGTGTGTGTGTGTGTGAGAGAGAGAGAGAGAGTGAGAGAGGGAAAAGAGAAAAAGAGAGAGGGAGAGGGAAAAGAGAAAAAGAGAAAGAAACAGAGAGAAAGAAAGAGAGAGAGAAAAGAGAGAGAGAGAGAGGGGAAAAGAGAAAAAGAGAGAGCGGGAGAGGGAAAAGAGAAAAAGAGAGAGAAACAGAGAGAGGGAAAAGAGAAAAAGAGAAAGAAAGAGAGAGAGAGGGAAAGAAAAAGAGAGAGAGAAAATGAGAGAGAGACGGAAAGGAGAGAGAAAGAGAGGGAGGGAAAAGAGAAAGAGAGAGAGAGAGAGGTGGAAAAGAGAAAAAGAGTGAGAAAGAGAGAGAGAGAGGAAAAGAGAAAGAGAGAGAGAGAGAGGGAAAGAGGAAGCGAGATAGATAGATAGATAGAGAGAGAGAGAGAGAGAGAGAGAGAGAGAGAGAGAGAGAGAGGGAGGTGTTCTAGAGATTCGTCTCAAAATGACGATACATAAAAAAAAAAAATACCCAAAAATAAAAAAAAAAAGTTTTATCGTCAAAATCTTTGTTATTATCAAGAGGAAAAAAAAAACGAAGGATTTTTTTCATGGTAAAAAAATATATTTTTTTAAAATCCTTTTGAGATCCTTCGAAATTCTATGTAGTGGACTCTACTGATGATATAGAAACCATTCCTTTTTCTGAAGCAGTGCGAAAATCAAAACGGAAAAGAATTTAAAGAAAATCCTGTTGCAAGTATAGAAGGAATTCCTACCTTGAAAATCGCCGTTCGAAATTCTGCCTTACCTTGGCTCGAACGCCAATTTGTAGCATCCGTATCTGTACGAAGCAGAGAATGACTTAAATTGGAGCAAACTGTGTTGGTAGGCGAGGAAGAAGTGTAAACCGGGCTATCTACTCCTATTCATCTAGGTTTTGTTTAGATTTGCACATGGACACATGAGTGGGTCATTACATGCTCAAATTAAGAGAAGAAGGAAAGTACCAAAGTTGTGGCGATGCTAAGTGATGAATTTGTTTTTGTTTTTGCAGATTATTTAAGTGTGCCTTGGTGGTTAGCTAGACCACAAAATCATTCTTAAGCAGCTTTCAATTCAGCTCGACAACAAAAATAAAATAAAATAAAATGAAAGAAAAAAAATATATCGTTAAAAGAACGCGAGACGTGAGAGCAGACATATTGTTTGTCCCAATTTCGATTCTGACACGGAGACAGACGATGCGAGGGGGAAAAAAATTAAAAAAGAAAGAAAAAAAAAGGGGGTCAACGAAAAAGTAGTATGAGAATGTAAGAAAGGGGAAAACAAATAGACAAGAAAATTCTAGACATATCTCCTCCCGGCAGTCGTCGAGGATACAAAAAGAAAACGAAAGAAAAAAATCAGCTTGAAGAATGTAAACGCATGCGTAAGGCATTTTCTTGAAAACAAAAAAAAAACAATCTCTATTTTTTTTTCTGTTGTTGTTGGGCACCTAATCCTGGTGTACGCCGAGACAAACGATGCAAAGCAGGATTATTGCTATTATTTCTTTTTCTGTTACTTATTTGTCTTTATCATCGTCTTTTCTTCTTCTTGGCATTTTCTTTTTATTCTATTTCTCTGGCACCTTCATAATTCTTCAGACTCATTTTCTCCTCCTCTTCCTCCTCCACTTTCTTCTCTTCCTTCTTCTTCTTTGTATCAGCCAGTTATGTGCCATGCGTGATACACGCTTAGGCGATCATGTATCTTTCGATACATGACTGACGAGGCAGATTTTTTTTCTGAAGTAGGTGGCCATTTCTTTCTGCTGTAGACCAGTTGCCATCCAAGGCTATTGAACCCGGACTGTGGTCAGTTATATGCCATGCGTAATACATGCTTAGGCGATCATGTATCTTTCGATACATGACTGACGAGGCAGATTTTTTCCCGCAGTAGGTGGCCATTTCTTTCTGCGGTAGACCAGTTGCCATCCAAAGCTATAGAACCCGGTCTGTCCTGTTATTTATTTCTCTATGGGAGAAGAAGAGGATTCATAGCCAAGGATATTAGCACGTAATGGATTTGACTGGTATTCGAACTCGGCTCTCCGATTCCTCAATCCAAGCCGCTATCCATTACTCCACCATACTTTATCATATTTCTCCGCTTACTCTTTTCCTATCCTTCATTCTCTACTGTATCTTCCTTTCTTTTCTTTTTTTTTGGTCTTTTTTCACACTCCAGCCATTCATATTATTCTTTGGCCCATCATCTTTATTCTTTTCGTTTACAACAATATTCTTTACCTTTTCCATTTTCTTCTTTCATTTATTTCTCGTTCGCTTTCACTTCTTCATCAACTTAGTTTTTCTTTTCCGTTATTTTTCTTTTGGTCTTCGGATATCTTTTTGTTCTCCTTCACCTCCGCTTTCTTCTTTGCTCCATCTCTCCTCTTTCTTCTTAATATTCTTCTTCTTCTTCTTCTTCTTCTTCTTCTTCTTTCGTTCAATCTCTTTTTCTTCTTGTTTCTCATCCTTATCTTCTACCCTTTACTCCTACCCTTCTTCCTCTTCTTTACTTTTCTCTTTTTCTTCCGTTCCCCCTCCTCTTTGACTATCAATTTTATTGTCCATACATTTGTTCTTCCTTTTTTCTCTTTTTCTTTGTTTTCCTCTTTCTTGTCTCTTCGTTTCCTTTTTCTCTCATTTCCTACTCCCCCTTCACATTTTCCTTCTCTCTTTCAGCGTCTTATCCCTTTTGTTTTTCTCTTTTCTTGCTTCACCACCCACTTTCATTCATTTTCCTTCCTCGTCGCTTTTCCATCTTCATTTCTTTCTTTCATCGTCCTGATAATATACAGTCCTGGGTATGACAATAAACATCATCCGGCAGCATGACATCTGATCAGGAGATTGGAGGTTTTGAGTAGCGTGGAACAACCTCTTAATTGCTGTTGTTATCCGGGCCACCCTGACCCAGGGTTGTAGCACCTGTTAGGGTCCCAGCTCTGGGCAAATAGGGAACCCCCAAACAACAGCAAAACACTATGAAAGTATAAAAATGCATTTTTATAGTAAAAATACCAATAATATATTTTTATAAATTACCAACAATACATATAGTAAAATTACCATTATAAAGCAAAATGACTAACAGTTTATCTGTAGTTGAAGGCATACAATTGTGTTCAAAATATTTAGATCTTGGCATTGAATAACCCATAGAGGTTGATATGCCACTAAACAAAATCAATCAGTCAAAAATCCTAATAATATCTATTAAGTTGAACAAAAATATTTCCTTTTTTATTTGTGATATGTCCCAGAAAGGGATATATTTGAACGAAGTAGCTAAGTGGTTTTGCCTACTATAACCAAGTAGAATACAGTAGCAGTAATCGACTGGTACGCGTCGTAGTCGCAGGTAAGAAGTGTAGATCAATGGCGTAGTCCAATGGGCGTCGTTATTGACTTAGCTCTCAGATTAAGGCTCTGACTTCTGACTCTCCTACGCGTCCGTCGGTATTTATGACGGACACCAGCCACACTCCAGTGAGGGGGAACACAGGTGTATGCATATTCTATTATATCAATTTGTCAACTTTATTTTACTAAATACTAAAGTACAATTATATTTTACTCAATTATATATTCTTCATTATTTGCAACTAAATCCTCACAGTTTTTAATTTTGTTGAAGTTTTATCGCTAACATTTTTTGTCGAGATTTACAAACTCTACGTTTCGTTCAATTTCGCAAACCAATCAATGAAATTTGAATAAGTTGATTTGTTTGGAAACATATTTTGACAAAAAACCTTACTCACGGTTTAATAATTTCTTTAATTTAATTTAATTTTATAGGATTTTATGGTAAACAATGTTTTTTTAAGAAAATGCCCATTTCCCCCCTTTTTAACAGCGAAGAATAAATTATTAAGATTTCTTACTCTTGAGTATGCAACATACAACTGGCCACGCGTAAACATTTTTTCAGGGGCCAAATTCCATCTTTTTGCAGCGTTTGGGTTTGTGATTTGTTTATAGTTCCACGAAAAAAAATGAATGGATATTTATTGTACTAAGCTATGCACCCTAGTAAAACCAATTGTACTTTGTACCCCCTTACCTGTTTTCACTTCTCCCCCAAAATTTGGTTTCGATCGGTCAATGTATGGCTATTTTAGTCGGTGTGAAGGATGGATTAACAAAGTCACAGAATATATATATATATATATATATATATATATATATATGTGTGTGTGTGCGTATATCTATGTATGTGTCTGTATGTGTATATGTATGTATGTGTATATGTGTGTATGTATGTATGTATGTATATGTGTGTGTGTATGAGTTAGAGGGTGTGGTAGAAGGACTAACAGAAGTCCCAGAATTTTATATATAGACTAGATGGATGTCCTGTTGCTAATTATCAGGAAGATCTTCAATATTTTTTTAATAAAATTTTGAAGGTTTTGATGCGACAACTTTGTACTCTTGAATCCACATTTCATTAGAGAATGTTTAATTCATCACAACGTTTTGCAACGTTCGAAGAAAGTAAAAATCAGTTGGTGCAAGGTCAGATGAATGTGTTCGGCGGGATAGAACAGACCAACCGAGTTCCAAAATATTTTCTTGTGTTGTTCTTTCTGAATGCTGCCCTGTGTTGACAGGGAGGAGAACAGTATTTTATCTGTAATCCACAGCCGGGTAATAAGTAAAGTATAGTAATGTCCTCCAAATTTATTTTTAACTGTCACGCATGACTAGTATTTTTTTAAAAATAATTTCACCCCAAGCAAGGCGATAATACCACTAAGTGGTTACAGTGAGTGAAAGACAATGAGACAACTTTAGTGAGGATAAGTGAGGGAAGTCAGAATATGGCGGTTGAAGTTGCATTTAAATTTTTGAAGATTGTAGGTAGCAGGGAAGCAAGAAACCGGAAGATCCACGGGCGAGTAGTGCGAGAAAAGAAACTGTTAGTGTAGAACTGACGGTTGCATCTAGCTAGTTCAATCTAGAAGAACGCTTAAATTCATGCAGTCGAGAAAAAGAAAAAAGCTCATAAGAACAGTTGCCATAGAAACATTTGTAGAAAAGACAGAGGGAGGCTACGTCACCACATGTTGCCATGTCATCCTCGGAAAGATAAGTGGAGGGGTTTCCCGTTACTTTCTTAATGTTTTAGAATTCAGATATTTAAAGTGGTTGCCACTCAAGGTTAGAGAGACTTGCCTTGCCTGCTATTTAACCTATAACATATAACACCATTCAGTAACCCTCTACTCTGAGTAGGTTATGGGCCTTGCATTGATAATCATTAGTATAAAAAAGAGCAATAGTGTGAAAGCGAACGCAACAGAATACCCCGGAATTTGAATTTGGCTCACCGACTCCCATTTTTGCGCCGAAATCAGTTACATTATCCACACGGTAGAAATAGTTTGACTTTCGAAGGGAGCTTGTTAATTTGCATTCCACAGCGCGGCAATCATTCTTTTTCGCAATTTATTTTAATATATCACTAGGCAACTATCGTGAACCACCCAGTGAGTATCGAACTCGGTGCAACAGTAACAGTTTGTAGCAATGGTTTACGTAGGTAACATTTTAATCCCTACACGACAACGGGTCCCTCATAGTTTTCTCAGTGTAAGTTTACACCATTTATTTTTTAGTCTGTTTATTGGAATGGTTGTCAAAACATCGGCTAATTGTCAATTGATTCGAACTTTATAAATTGGTAAATAATAAGGATCTTCTTATAGTTGGTTCACATATTTTAATAATTTTATAAATGTTTATAAATCTATGGATATTTTTTCATATTTATTTCGTAATAAATTGATAAATGCTAAATATGGCATTGCATTACTTTTAATTGTACGAGTTTCTAGAATTTTGCAAATGTAAAATTATACTTGTAATAAATTAATCTAATAAATAGTGTTTAATGTTTTTGTTGTAAATTCTGAAGAATAAAAAAAATGTATAAATTCACTTTCATAATATGTTTTATTACAATTCTAATCAACGATTTTTATTGAAATGGTTGTCAAGATATCGGCTAATTGCCAATTGATTCGAACTTTAAATATTTCCCTATAATTGGTTTAGATATTTTAATAGTTTAGTAAATGTTTGTAAATTTATGAATAAAAAATTGTTTTCATATTTATTTCTTTATAAATTAGTAAGTGATAAATATCGCATTGCATTAGTCATAATAAAATTAGTATTTTAGTATTAATTTTTAGAATGTTGTAAATATAAAATTATTCTTGTAAATAAACATTCTAATAGTGTTGAATGTTTTTGTTGTAAATTCTTAAGAACAAAAGAATGTATAAACTCACTTTCATCACATGTTTACGTTTTATTATAATTCTAATCATGTTTTTTTTTTTTTAAATAAAAATTGCCGAGGAGAGAAGGCAGTTAAAATAATAGCGGTGTCATCGGAAAAACGTCCCTTTTGACAATTTTGATTTTGAATTTTTTGTGGACACGTTTAGAAAGCGAAGATTATGTAGCCGCAGTCCAGATATGACAGCATCTGTTGCTGACTTATCTGGGCATCATGACACTATACTAAAAACTCATCACGTTTCAACCGCTTTAGTGATAGATCGTATATATGAATTCTATTTGAAGTCTGGAGAAAACTTTAATATCAATCAGTCATTCCGTTACTTTCCATAAGTGATATAGATTTGTAAGATGACGTCTCTTTCGATTCATGACTGACTAGGCTGAAGGTTTTCTCACAGTAGATTACTATTTCGTTCTGCGATAGTCTGGTTACCATCTAAGGCTATAGGATCCAGTCTGCTCTGCTATTTAACCCATAGCTGGGGAAACAATGGATGAATTCATAGTTTTCCCCAAAGGTATTTGCGTCAAAGTGAACGTAGAGAACACGGCTAGTATTCGAACTCGTCTCTCCGATTTCTCACTCCGTTATCGATTACGTTACAACGCACATCCTTCGTCCCAATAGATGTTCGAAATAGCGATAGAGAGGCTAGCAGTGTTTCTTCTGTGAAAAAGGTGTTGTCGGATAGAAAATAATTAATCACTCCCAAGTTCTCTTTGAGTCTTATTGCCAGACATTACTCTCCGGAAAAGCGTTCGAGTTATTGATTAATTCTGTCTGGCTCTGGCTAAACGCTAAAAACATCGCTGAGAATTATTGGTTGACGGCACGACGTCCGGTTATTTTGAGATTTTACGCGCGTTAGAATTAGGCTTACGCTTATTGGCAGTCGTCGCGGAATCGGCAAACCATACTGGAATATATCTTGGCCAAAACTGACTCGTTACTGACATGTCACGATGGCGGACGAAGAAGTGAGTCTTCGAGTAAGCTGTATGAGTAGATTACCCTCCCTGCAACAAACTTCTAACGGTGGCTAAAAAACGTGTAGATACAGACCTATGTTAATACTTGCTGACTAATTAATTTTTTATGTTATTCTTCACCCCATACAAGGCTTAAGAGCCACTCAATTTAAAGGGTTACAGAATTAATTTGTTATGTGAACGTAAAAGGAAGAAGGGCATGTTATGAGGATATGTAGGATATATAAAGTTTGATCATAGACGTAAAGAGATTAAGAGCCTAGCGGTCAGGGAAGGATCCTTTCCATAAAGTGACGTTTCTTGGAAAGAATCTGTTTGAACGGAACATCTTCCTTACAAATGGAATACAAAGAGAATGAGGATGATTCGATCCTGTGTATATGGCATAGCAAGTCTTAGCAGTGAAGGTCTGAACTGGTGGAACTAACGAATGAAGCTCGTCAGAATATTTGCCATGAAATATTTTTTTTTACTGCTGTTCACCCAATACAAGGATCTAGCATCTTTCAAGTTAGAGTTACGAGGAA